CGTAGGCTCAGGGCACGGTACAGGGGGATTAACGGTGTGTTCAATGGTGTCTCCTGAGGTTTTGTAAGGTTAAGGGTTTAGAGTCAAGGATTTTTAGGGTGTAGAGAGAAGGATGTCGGGGAAGAGGGTGTTCCTTGTCAGGGTCCTTTGACGAGAACTTAAGGTTGGATGGCAACCCTATTTTGAACAACCCCCGTGCGTGGCCAAAGATGAGGCACTCTCGGAACCTTGTGGTTCCAGAAGCTTCCCTCGTTAAAGCAGGTTCATTCTCGCGCTGTTTCGTTTAGGGCTTAGGGCTTCGGATTTAGGGTGCATGGCCATGCTCTTTCTATTGCGTCGGGATCGATTCTTTCCCAGGGTCGTTCTGTTACTAGTAGTATCTGTTAGGACTGATACTCGCACCGCATGCACAAGCCACCCTAAACCCTAAACCCAAAACCCTAAACCCAAAACCCAAAACCCTAACAGTCACCCACGAAATCCAAGTCTTCGGCAACCAGGGCCGCGCCGCGCTGGTTTGCAAGCAGCGGCTTGCTACATCTCCTGGGCACTTGACAGGGTTTAGGGTTTAGGGTTTAGGGAATACAGCACATGATGCAAATGAGACTGCGGGCAACAAAGCGATGGGAGCAATGAGAAGACTGGGGATGATGCTACTTCTACCACTGGCCAGCGCAAGACCTGAAAGTAGATCATATCTTGATTGCCGGTACCTCCTGTGATAACCGCTGTCTTGCTGAGTCTTGCTGTTCACGGGGGAGCGAAACCACAACATCAACTACTGGTAGGAATAATGATAAGCGTAAAGACAATACCTATAAATGACAACCACCGTAATTCATATCGATTCATATTGGTGTTTGTTATTCGTACTCGGATGGACAGCAGCTCTCTTCATCACCGTCATCACATGCGTAGTTCTCTACGTTAGTGTCCCTTTCTGGGTCATTTTCCATAAGGGTGCCGTACTATGTTGGGGACCCAACATGGGAGCCGAAATTAGAGAACGACCCAAATACACAATGGCTCTTGTCCTGATTACGCCGTGACCGCATGAAGTCGTCTAGATGTCAGTGCCCGCTCCCGAAGCTCCAGAAACCTACCTGACGCTTCAAGCTTGTGTTGAGTTTAGGGTTCAAGGTTTAGGTTTTAGGGTTCAGGGTTTAGGGTTCAGGGTTTAGTCCGGGTTGAGGGTCCAGGGTTTAGGGTTTAGGGTTTGGGGATTAGGTTTCAGGCCATGACAGAGTCTAGATCAGGCTCCTGCATTTTCCTGCAAACCCCGGATGGGTCGGTTTAAGGTGAAGGTCAGTCGTCGCTTGTGTGCGCTGTGCAGAGCAAGGCAAGAGCGTTACACAAAGAGCTCTGTTTGTACCTGATTTTCTAGCACACGCCAAACTCAAAAACTCCGAGTTCGGTTAAGGGACCCTGAACCCTAAACCCAGTTACCCATCCTGCGCAAGAACACATCTTTGTCGATTCAACGAAATGAACTATTGAAACTATTGGGTCAACTCGAGTCCTCCTCGCAAACCTCTGGCCTCACATCGAATCCAAAAGCTTAAAATCCTAACTCCCCAAATACCAAGAATCCCTACCAAAACCATGTGAAACCCCAGAAAATCAGGGCAACACGACCAGCTAGAACCTAAACCCTAAACCACGGACTCTAACACTTCCTAAGTCCAAAAGCTCCCCAAACCCCAAAACTCCCCAAACCCCAAAACTCCTGCGGTGGCGGACGCCAACTCCACTCTCCGGCTGTGTCGATCGAGATCCTGGCGTGCCGGGAGAGCCCTTGGCTTGCGTTTGGCGCTTTAGGGCTGCAGGGTTTGTGGTTTTAGGGTCTTTGGCCTGGGGTCTAGGGCTTTAGGGTTTTGAGTTTAGGGTTTTAGGGTTTTGGGTCTAGGGCTTTAGGGCGTTGAATTTAGGGTTTGATGTTTAGGATTCTTCGCAGGGGTTTAGGCTTTAGGGTTTAGGGTTCCTGCAGCGAACTGCAAGGGTATCTACTGAGCATGTGGAAATCCTACAACACCTCAATTGGAGACCTTACGTACTGAATATCGAGAGGTTGTAAGTAAAAGCCCTAGACCCTAAACCCTCGCGTCTAAACCCCCAAAATCCCTTATCTTACAGATCCCCCTAAACCCTAAACCCTACACCCTTATAGATCCCTTAATGTAAGATGTAAAGGATGCCCTGACAGCGGACCTCCGGGATGACGTGAGTCGCTGGGAAAGGAGCTCTTTGGGGTTTTCCCTTAGAGTTTAGGGTTTAGGGCCTAG